TATGCTTACCCTAACAACTCTGAGATTTTATAATGTAATCCTGCTATTCTGTGCCGAAGTTCTCCTAACATCCCTCAGACAAACATCCGGAGTTTAAGGAGGGACATGGTGACTCCAGCTTTCTTTGCACGTGTTATTGATGGAGCGATTGAACGAGACGCTGTGACGTCTGCAAGCTATTTCTGGATGTACTACAATCAAACACTAGATGGAGCTACAGAGCTGCAGTCTCATCTAGCGGCCTCACCTTGGCACTTAAATCAATCTTCCTGTTTTTGTCTCAAATGATTTCTCAGACAAATTCCAAGCTGCAAGATTTTTTCAGAACATATTCTAACATAAAGTTAAAAAAGGGAGTGAGGTAGCTTTTTCCTGATAACTACACATTGAAAAGCATTAGGGAAGTATTAATAAATACTTCATTATTTCTAAAGCATGACTTTTCCATAGGACGCCATTCATATACACTAATGTTAGTGGTTTATTAATGATGAAATAGCTCGTATATAACATCATATATAACTTTAGCAAGTTCTTTCAGGACACTTTTGGCTTTTACTGCCACAAATCCTTGTCACGCCCTTCGGAAAGTGTACTGTGAAGCTTCCACAGGATAGGCTCTCCAGCCTCTCTCCAAGCACTATTTCATTCTATAAATGCTTTGTAAGACATAGATCGTCCTAACTTTAGATGATGTACACACAAAAGAGTTAACTAACAACTCGTAACTGTATGAATTAACCATGAATTACCATATGAAATAAATAGCTATGGAAACGTTTCTATTATCACACTCACAAACAACTAGCTCATTTTATAAGCTGTGTCTGTATTAATGTGCATCTAAATACACTGTTAATAGTTTATGTCACTTTTAAATGATGTCATTAACAGCTCCCAAAAAACAGGACCTGATGTAAAACTTTCTTTAGTAATGTAGGAGTGATGTTTTCTAAATGATGAACTACATAATCATTGATACCTTACTAATGCTTAATAGTGTCCAGTTAATATAAAGTGTTGACATTTTTGTGATATGGCACAAGATCCGATTTGGATTCAGATCTTGTGCCATAAAAAGTTTTATAAAAACGTATTTGAGCATTACCACCTGCTCTCTTTGCAGAATGATCACTTTAGAGATCATATGTTTATATGTAATCATTATTATTATTGTTATTGTTATTGTTATTGTTATTGTTGTTGTTGTTGTTATTGTTATTGTTATTGTTATTGTTATTATTATTACTTAATGTAGCATTTCATTGGGTAGGTTTATGATGGTAAATAATGTCTGCTAATTATATATTGTTTATAGGAGCAAAATAAACCATATTGGCCTCTAACAGTTGGTGACCTTTGAACCCAGTTGCTCCTGTAAGATCAAGTAAACTGTTCTTAATTTGTTTTCACCTTTTTCTGTTTTTTTTTGTGTTTTTTTTTTAAATGGCAGTTACATTCATATGCATTCATCTCTGCAGTGCATTCCTTAAACAAATGTTAAAGCATGGTCACAGTTTTTATTTTTGGTCCACACAAACTGCTCATATGTGAAAATGTGAAAATACATAAATGCATGGACTTAAAGAAGCCTTTCTTCCACTGCTGGTATATTGGATCTTTTGTTAACCTTTCAGTTTCTCCTCAGTCAATATCTGAATACACAAAACTTCTAGCTGACTTAAAAAAAGCTGATTTATTGCTTCATTTTAGATCTAAAATTCACAATTTTCTCTAAGAACCTTCTGCTATCTGTTTAGATTAGCTCCATTTCCCCCCCGCCTGTTGATCTGGAAGGTGCAGCTGCTGACAATATAGATCTGTGATGGTGTGGGCTTGTGTGTCTATGAGTGTGGGCGCTGGCGTGTTGTTGCACTTAAGCTCTATTAAGTGATGCAGCCCCAGTGTAAGGCAGAAGGTGTTTATAATCAAATTATTTGGACTGGCAATCCAATTTTCCAAGATAGAATAGAGTTAGATTTTGTGTATGCGTGACAGTGTGTGTGTTTATGGCGTGATGTTTGCACATGAGAGGGGTCTTGGGATTTCATGCTTTCTTTGTGCGTTTTTGTTAAATAGCCCTTCTGTGTGTGTGTGTGTGTGTGTGTGTGTGTGTGTGTGTGTGTGTGTGTGTGTGTGTGTGTGCGCATGACTTTGTGTCTCTGTGAATGGAGAAAAGACAAATCATGAACAAGACCCAGCCTTTGATAGAGCAAAAAATAAATATAGCACAGTCTTATTTACTGCAGAGACTGGAACAGTTAACTGTAGTCTGTTATCAGGTTATCTACAGATTTCAGGCTGCATGGCTTCAAGGGGAATTCTTGGATCTGGTGATGCCCCATCTCACCATGTCTTCCCATTTTTTGCTTAAAGAGGAGCTTATGAGTGTGAGTGTGTATGTATTTAACCCTGTCTAGCTTCTTTTAGGCCAACTGGATCTGAGAGCCTCTGCCGGCACAAAGAGGCTTTTCTGCCATTTCAGCATCTCTTCCTGTCCTTTTCTTCCTGCCTGCTTTAGAGGCAGTTTCCATAGAAACAAGTTGCAGGATGCCCTTAGAGAGAAAGATGGTAGATGATGGGGTAAGATGACAGCAGAAGTTGAACGAATGAAATGATTAGCCAATTATACTGATTTATAGTGAGCGCTT